GTGGTGGGTTGTCGTTGGAAATAGGAACTATGCCTCGTTGATTCTTGATGCCCCAAATCTTCAGAGTTAATAATTGATGGCACGTTAGAACAACTACGTCTACGGTCTTCAATAATTCTTTTWTTCAAAGCTTGACTCTTTGTAGATGGACGGCCACGAGTGGTTCTATGAACCAAGGGTTCATCAAACGGTTTTGATGGCATTATTATATCCTTCAACTTTCTGAGTAAACTTTTACGACCATGATACGACTGCTTATTAAATTTTTCTTTGAACAATTGAACTTCATCATCACATCCAATCTCGTCATCTTGTGTGGACACACATGGTGAAAAATCAAGTTTTTTCCAAAATATATCGATTGCATCAAGTGGAATGGGTATGCCTTGACATGTATACAGTGCTTGTTCATGAGCACAAGGCAACCCATGACTTCTACGCAATTTACAACCACATTTTTCAGAAAATACGCTAGTTTGGAAAGACCGTTCATTTTCAGTGTAAATCATATCAAGTGCATAAAATGAAACAAAGCCCCACAAATTTTGAAAGTGTGAGTTTCCAAATCGGTGTTTCCTAATCGTTCTACATTGTTCAAAACTTGCTTTAATCGATGTGTCHTGTGACTGGATTACTTGATGGATGTGAGATAAAATTCTTTGTAAGTCTGCTCGGGAAGTTTCCAAAAATAATTTTAGTTTGGAATGTTGGCTTTCAACTTTGTTTGTTGTGTGATTTCCAAAGTTTAAAACCTGATCAACCCAAGCAGATACAAACATTTCTTTATATGGTGTCAACCATACATTGTTCAAGTAATTCATAACACCTGAAAAAATACAACATACATATGTCAATATATTTAGTAACAATGATTAAATTATCTTATATCAAGAATACCTGGATAGGCGAGCAAAAATTCTTGAAGTTGTCCCAAGTTGTACGTGTACCATTCCTCATCTTGAGATTCAAGTAATTGCAACCATAATTGACAAAAAGTACTCCATGAGTGCGACTCGTGAATCGATGGTCTACAATGTTTCAAAATATTTTGAAAGATGTGCATCTACAGAGTAACTGTTTAGCACCCAGAAATACCACTCTACATGCTTTAATCAATGCCAACTCTTTGTCTGTGACTATGACAGCTGGGTAAAAGTTATCGCATATTTTGGACTTTAAACAATCTAACGCCCAAGTATAATTTGATATCTTTTCTTGATGCATGAAAACAAATGTTATGCAAAATGTCAGGTTGGTCGATGTTACACCAACTATCTCAAGAAGAGGCATGTCGTACCTGAATAATAAATTAACAAAATAATGATGTTAAAGAAAATAATAATGTTAAAAAATAATAACATTGACATTAACAAAATAGACATGCATTTTAAGGTACCTATTTGTTTTATATGTGGCATCGATGACTAACACTTGTGGGAATGCACGCCAAAGCTCAAATGATCTTGGATGAATGAAGAATAAATCTTCCAACTCGTTTGTTTCGTCATTAACACGAGTCTCAAAATCATAATTTTTGTTAACAAAAAAATCAACAACAACCTGCATTTGTGGTCTTCCTGCATAGTTTGTTGTCTTAATCTTTTGTTGTTCATTGTATATCGTTTTTGACGTAGATGCATTTCCCGTATGTCTACCCTTTAACGTGGATAAGATRTGTCGTGGCTTGACATGTTGGGCTGATAGATCTTCAACTAGTTGAGCTTCAGTTTCATTTAGCCGCGATGCATATGCATGACCCTCCATATATTGTGCAAGAACATGATTATGTGCATCGYATACCACCGTCAACGTCCACCAACTATGTTTAGCCGAAAATAGCGCTATCAACTCAAATGGGCATCCAAATTTTTTTGTTCCCGTATGACGAATGGGAGTTATTTTATAATTGTAAGCTCCGCCGTGTTCACACATAAACACAACTTTATAAACATTTCCATTTGGCTTTGCCTTTGATCTTTTTGTAACAACAACACAACCAACTGAACGCCCCACATTGTGCACCCACTCGGTTATTTCTTCCCAAAAATTGAACATCTGGAAAAAAAATTTATAACTTTCATTTGTACAAGTAAGTATTAATAAATCTAAATATCAATTAACATAATATTGTACCTCGTTGGTGAAAAATTCTGGTGTTGTTATCAAATCTTCTCCCATATTTGATGTATATTGAAGAATGAGAGAGTTATATATTGAAGAAGAATGAGAGAGTTATATAAGAGAGTTATATATTGAAGAAGAATGAGAGAGTTATATAAGAGAGTTATATAAGAGAGTGAAATCGAATGAACGATTAATTCGTTCGATATATATATATATATATATCGATTTTTTTTACTTTATTTCAAATCAATAACTTTACTTTATTTCAAATCAATAACTTTACTTTATTTCAAATCAATAACTTTACTTTATTTCAAATCAATAACTTTATTTTATTTCAAATCAATAACTTTACTTTATTTCAAATCAAATTATTTTTACAATTATGTAAACGAGTACACATGTTAAAACGTATTTTCCTAACGTATTTTGTACTTAATGTCGATATTATTGTTCATAATGTAACATGTTACTTGATATATATAAGAGCTAATTTAACGTGA